TCTGTTTAGTTCACTTGCCCATTTCTTTATTGGTTCATTAGTTTTGGGAGAATTTAGTTTTTTAAGTTCCCTATATATTCTGGTTATCAGTTCTTTGTCTGATGTATAGTTGGCAAATATTTTCTCCCACTCTGTGGGTGTTCTCTTCAGTTTAGAGACCATTTCTTTTGATGAACAGAAGCTTTTTAGCTTTATGAGGTCCCATTTATCTATGCTATCTCTTAATTGCTGTGCTGCTGGGGTTTCATTGAGAAAGTTCTTACCTATACCTACTAACTCCAGAGTATTTCCTACTCTTTCCTATATCAACTTAAGAGTTTGGGGTCTGATATTAAGATCCTTGATCCATCTTGAATTAATCTTGGTGTAGGGTGATATACATGGATCTAGTTTCAGTTTTTTGCAGACTGCTAACCAGTTTTCCCAGCAGTTTTTGTTGAAGAGGCTGCTATTTCTCCATCGTATATTTTTAGCTCCTTTGTCAAAGATAAGTTGGTTATAGTTGTGTGGCTTCATATCTGGGTCCTCTATTCTGTTCCACTGGTCTTCATGTCTGTTTTTGTGCCAGTACCATGCTGTTTTTATTGTTATTGCTTTGTAATATAGTTTGAAGTCAGGTATTGTGATACCTCCTGCATTGTTCTTTTGACTGAGTATTGCCTTGGCTATTCGTGGTCTCTTGTGTTTCCATATAAATTTAACAGTAGATTTTTCAATCTCTTTAATGAATGTCATTGGGATTTTGATGGGAATTGCATTAAACATGTAGATTACTTTTGGGAGTATAGACATTTTTACTATGTTGATTCTACCAATCCATGAGCATGGGAGACTATTTTTTAAATATTCCTTTACCTACTGAATTGACTTGGTGTCTTGGTCAAAATTTGATTTGTTAGCCAGGCACAGAGGCCCACGCCTGTAATTCCAGCACTCAGGAGACCAAGGCAGGAGAATTACAAGTTTGAGATCAGTTTGAGACTCTTGTCTCAAAAAAAAATTGATTTGTCGTGTATGTGTGTGTCTAGTTCTGGGCTTTCTACTCCAGTCAATTGATTTGTCTGTCTTCATACCAGTACCTACTGAAATCAAGTAGTCTACGATCTGCTCTTGGAGCCAAAGGTGTGGCTCAAGTGGTAGAGCAGACCTTGGGTTCAAACCCCAGTATTGCCAAAAAAAAAGCGGAATTCTTTTCATGTATATATAAATTGTGGAATCAGCATGTCACTCTTTTCAAGAAAGCCTGCTGGAGTTTTGAAAGGGATATCACTGATCCACAATCAGTGCATCTTCAGATCACGAATTTGATCTCCATTAATTAATTGCCTATCTATTTATTTATTTATTTTTCTCAGCAATGTTTTGTCATTTTCATCCTAGCAGTCTCCCACCTCTTTGGCTAGGTATATTCTTAGGTGTTTGATGTTTTTGGAAGTCATTCTGAATGGCATTGTCAGTTTCATTTTCCAGTTGTCCCTTGCTTGGCTTCTGTTGTAGCAGGATGACTCTGGCTCCTGTACTAAGGACAAATCGCCAGGGGTGGAGGGCAAAGGCAGAAGCAGGAAGGTGAGCAAGGACTCAAGGAGTGGCTGGGGATGAGGCAGATGGTGTTGAGGATTGGTCAGAGATTGAGCAAAGAGCCAACAAGATTTTCTAATGGATGGAGGTCACGTGAAAGAAAAAGGGAAGTCAAGGACAATGTCAAGGTTTTTGCCTGACCAACTAGAAAGGCAGGGTCATCCTCCTCTGAGGGGTTTATTAGAAACAGTTCATGGAGAACATCATCCTGAGCGAGGTTAGCCTGGCCCAAAAGACCAAAAATCGTATGTTCTCCCTCATATTGCGGACATTAGATCAAGGGCAAACACAACAAGGGGATTGGACTTTGAGCACATGATAAAAGCGAGAGCACACAAGGGAGGGGTGAGGATAGGTAAGACACCTAAAGAATTAGCTAGCATTTGTTGCCCTCAATGCAGAGAAACTAAAGCAGATACCTTAAAAGCAACTGAGGCCAATAGGAAAAGGGGACCAGGAACTAGAGAAAAGGTTAGATCAAAAAGAATTAACCTAGAAGGTAACACACCTGCACAGGAAATTAATGAGTCAACTCCCTGTATAGCTATCCTTATCTCAACCAGCAAAAACCCTTGTTCCTTCCTATTATTGCTTATACTCTCTCTTCAACAAAGTCAGAGATAAGGGCAAAATAGTTTCTGCCTGGTAGCGAAGGGGGGGAATGAGGGGGCAGGAAGAAGGGGGGAGAAATGACCCAAATATTGTATGCACATATGAATAAAAGAAAAAAAAAGAAATGGTCAGTTCTGTGGGGGAGAGGTCTAGGTGGGCTCTGTGTGTCTGAGCATCATCAGCCAGTGTATGAGCTGGGGAGCTCACAAGGGTGGAGACTGTAAAGGACAGAGTCCTAGGCCTGCATTCTAGGGCAAGGCAGCTTAGGGGGTCAGGGAGAGAAGAAGCAGCAGGGAGGGAAGAGAAGTCTGGAGAGCTGGTGAGCTAGAAGCTGAAGGAAGAAGGTATTTTGAGAAGGACACAGTGATCTGATGCATGAATGACGATGACAGGCAAGTCAGGCGAGTCCCCAAATTGGCCATGGAATTTAACAACATGGAGTCATGGGTGATGGTGTGGTGGAGCCCTAGCCTGGCTGGAAGGGGCTCAGGAGGAGAGGGGAGGAGAGAAGCTGGGGTCAGCCCATAGAGATGGTTCTTTGAAGAGACTTCCTTTGTGGACTGCACAGGACCCCCCTGAGAGTTGCTGGGACCACTGTCCAGAGCCTACAGTGTGTGGTCTCTACTGCGGGGTCTGCCTCAGCTCCCTGGGTGTCTGTACTAGCTAGGAGCTCACAGGAGCCTCCTATGAAGCCTGTGGCCCAGGGTGAGGGTGTGCTGTGGGATGAGGCGTCCTGGGGAATTCCTCAGCCTGCCTGATGTCGGTGACTTCCTTGTGTTTGAAGCCACCTGCTCCTTATAGATGGTCCTCTGGTTTATCCAAAGCAAGAACTCAATGTTTGCTTGGGCATCAGGCTCCTGATGGGACATCCTGTGTTCTCTGCCCCGTGGCAGGACCAGGGAGCACTGCAGTGCGGCTGTCCTGCTCTGCGGCTGGGCAGTCCCATGGTGTTCCAGCCTCAGTTCACACGTGGCAGAAAGTAAAAGGAACTGTGTTGGGTGGCATGGAAGCTGCTTGTGTGTCCCAAGTTCTCCTACGTATGAGGAGTGGGAGGGGTAAAAAGAATGAGCAGAAAATGAATGAGTCTGGTTTTTCTGCTATACAGAAGCAAGAGTTCTTTAGGTTATATTTGAGGGACACTTTAAAGACCTCCTGCACCCAGACCTTCTGGGAACCCTGTCAGGGCCTCCTGGGAAGGCTGTGCCATGTTCCATGGCCACCAGTGTCAGCCCCACCAGCTCGGTTCTGCTTCTTCCTGCATCATGGTCTTTGCAGCCTAGCAGCACTGCCAGGATTCAGGGTATGTCTGTTCTGTAGGGTTTATGCATGTAGAATGTTCTGTGGCTTTCCATGTGGTTCAAGCAATCCCTTGGGTACCATCTTTATTAGTTCTCTAGTTGCAAAGTGGCCTGGGCTGAAGGATCTGTCCAATCCTACACCTGTCATACACCCTGTTGCATGCAGAAGGTGGGGACTTTCAGGAACACACAGATCATGTTTCAGCAGAAATCCTGGACTGTCTTTTTGGTGGGACACAGGGCCTGGAGGAAGGTGGGCAAACAGGGACCTGAAATGTGAGGTTCACCCTGCACAGAGCTGGAAGTCTCCTTCCTACTGAATCCAAGAGGCAACACCTCATTCAGTAGGAACATTTATTGACTAATAGGTCTATCAGAATGAACATTTCTATTGGCTGTTTCTGGAAGGATGTGTGTCTGCAAGGTACTCCTCAACACTGACCGTCCTGTCTGTCCTGCCACACACTGGCAGCTGCCGCTCACGTTTGAGGATTTGGTACTGGGGGCGGGGCAGGGCACAGGCTGTTCTGAGTTTGACTGGTACTGAAGGGGGCCACGGGCTCCTTTGCAGATCAGCCGTTACCAAAAATTTGGGAACCATTGTCGGAGAAAAACTTTAGAAATTTTATAAGGTACTGATTTTCCCTGACTACTGGGAGGAGATTACTAGCACTGTTTTTGGACTGTGTCCTAGCCTAGTGGGACAGACCCAGGGCAGGAAAGGATGCCACAAAGAGGGGATGGCAGAGGGGGGCCTGTCTGAGGAATGGGGACACCTCTCTGCTTCCTGTGCAGCCTGCACCCAAGAGCAACACAGCTGGAAGGATCAAGGTCAGACTCTCCTACAGCAAGAGAGACTCAGGAAAAGCTGATGGAGGAGACAAGCATGTGCCAGGTGCCTGCCCAGCCCACTGCATCAAAGTTCAGCAGGCTCTTAGTATCAGATTGTCAGCAAGTTCCCCATCTTTAATAGATGGGGAAACAGAGGCCTGGAGTGGGGCAACAACCTGCCCAAAAGTCACAAAGCAAATTGGAGGCAGAACGAGACTCACATTAAAAACAAGCCAGGTGTAGTAGTACACATCTGTAATCCCAGCTACTGGGGAGGCAGAGGTAAGAAGGTCTTGGTCTGAGGCTGGCTCCAGCAAAAGTGCAAGACCCTACCTGAAAACAAATATAAGAAAAAAAGATGGGGGTATGGTTCAAGCGTAGAGCATTTGCCTAGCAAATGTCAGGCCCTGAGTTCAAACTCCGGTATTGCCAAAGAAACAAAAGACAAAATAAGACCCCCACAAGTTGATTTATCAAGGGGGTTTCAAGCCAGGAACTACAGGCTTAACCAGTCCTCCCTCTGACCACATAATCTTATTTTCTACATTTCTGAGACAAGCAGGCGGGTGCCTGGTGTGTTAGGAGTACAGTAGGCAATGCATTGTAATAGAAGGTACAAAGGGATGCTGGGCTGGGGACAGCAGGACCACCCTGATCGCTCCCACCCCGCGCTCCACACAGGTGCAGACATTCCATGGAGACCTGCTGCAGCACATGGAGAAGAACACCAAGCTGGATATGCAGTTCATCAAAGTGAGCCTCCTCCTCACTCCCGCCCCCGCTCCTCACGGCAGGACCACCTCTCCCATTTGTCAGCGCTGAGCCCTGTGACATGGGGCTTGCCCTGGTCTCTGCTTTACCCCAGGACAGCCGCCAGCACTACGAGATGGAGTACCGCCACCGAGCGGCCAACCTGGAGAAGTGCATGTCTGAGCTGTGGCGCATGGAGCGCAAGAGAGACAAGAACGCGCGGGAGATGAAGGTGCGGGGCTGGGGAACCCCTAGCACCTCCCAAGATCCCCCATCCCGCAGCAGCCAGCCGGGCTGCAGTGAGCACGGCCCCTGCAGCTCCGGCACCGCTGGCCCTCGGAGCCACTCTCAGCACCCCTCCCTCCTCCTGCCTCCCTTGGATATAGCAAAGGTGTGACTGTTCCAGCGACCCCCACCTCCTCCTCCGCAGAGTATCCTGGCCCCGGCCGAGGCCAGTCCCGCTCCGTCCCCTGACTCTGGAACCCAAACCCATGGATTAGTCCTCTGCTTCCTTCCTGCCTCCTCCCTTCTGATCGCTTTCAGTGAGCTCCTGCCTCCCTTCTTCAGAATCTCCCTGGTCGGGCTACTCAGTCGTTTTCATTAATCCCGCTTCCCCACGCCCCGCCCCTGTGCTCGCCCGTGCTGCGTGCCTGAGACAGGGGGACAGCTCAGACACCTGCCCCACCTGGGACACAGGGCTCGGACTCAAAGGATGATGGTGCCCATCTGGGGGCAGGCACTGGGCTGGGCACGCAGGGGAGGCTTGCAGGAGGAGGTAACCAAGCCAGGACAGATGTAAGGTCCTGATCCACCGCCCGCAGCCAGAACCTCTTCCCCGCAGGAGAGCGTGAACCGGCTGCACGCACAGATGCAGGCCTTCGTGTCCGAGAGCCAGCGGGCAGCCGAGCTGGAGGAGAAGCGGCGCTATCGCTTCCTGGCAGAGAAGCACCTGCTGCTTTCCAACACCTTCCTGCAGTTCTTCGGCCGGGTGAGCACCCTCCCTGAGCCGGCTGCCTTCCTTCATCTGTGTAGAAACTGATCTGGTTCACTCTCTCCATCCATTTACCTGTTCGTTTTGTGTTTATTTTTTTTATTTACCCTTATTAGTAATTTTTTTTTGTGGTACCAGAGTTTGAACTCAGGGCCTTACACTTGCTAGGCAAGCGCTCTACCATTTGAACCACTCCACCAGCTTGTGTTTATTTTTAATAAAATTTTAATTAGGATACATTCATTATACAGGGGGAGATTCATAGTGACAATTCTAATCAGATTTATATTGTACATTATTACACCGTCCCCATTGTTTCTCCCCTTGAGACCTCTCCCCTGTCCCCACCCCACTTGAAGCAATCGCAAGAGGTTTCTTTGTTCTGTTTCATATAGGTGTATGAAGCTCATCAACCTTAATCTCCTTCATTCACCCTCCCCCCCCACACACTGGAACCCCTCCTCCCTCCTCACAAGCTGTACCTATTTTACAGTCCTGTCTTATCAATATTTAAGTTGACATTCAAAGGCATGTTTCAATGTGTCCCCACTGTGGGTATAGTTTACTTTGGTCTGTTCATCCCCTTCCATTATCTCCCTTCCCCTTTAAACTCCCACCCCCCATTTTTCAACAGCTTTCAATACACGTCATTGTATCCTCTACCTTCACATCTTATGTGGTATTACTGATGCTCCATCATTCTTTTCCTTTCTCTCTTTCCCCAAGTTCCGTAGAGTCATTCCACTGTTACAAGCATGTCCTACATCTGAGTTTGTAAATGATCATGCTTGTTTCTGTGTATATGTTTATCTTTGGATCTATCTTCCACATATGAGAGAAATCATGCGGCCTTTGTCTTTCTGAGCCTGGCTTACTTCACTTAAAATGATGTCCTCCTTGTTTTGTGTTTATTTTTACCTCCATATTTTCATCCATTCATTCATTGTGATTTTTGCATGCATTCACTAATTCACGTATTTGTTCATTCACGTATGAACCATTTTTATTATTCATGTATTATTAAATACATATGCTCACCATTCACTCATTCTTTGATAGGTTTTGCTCGGTTGTTACCCATTACTTTTATCGTATTATTTAAATGCTCTTGTTTTGTTTTGTCTGTTAGACCAGAGTCTCTGACTTCTTATGGGTTTGTTTTCTGTATTTAGTTGCTGTATTCTTTGGTGCTTTGGGGTTTATAAGTACTATACCTTTCCTGTAAATATTACCTTTCATGCGTGTGATGTTTCTCTTACTGTCCTTCCTACTGTTTCTTCTCTCTGCTCATCTCTTTGTTTTAAGTATGTTTTCTGTTACTAACATCCAGCTCAGTTTTGGTTTTTGAGTAAATGACAGTCTCTGCCTTCTAACACACATTTAACACAGCCACCATTCTACCTGGTTGCATCCTTCCAGCTGGGAGCTCACTGCATTTACTTTGTCATTTCCCATTTTGCTCCCATTCTGTCAGTCTGCTTGAGTTACTATATAGTCTCTTTTTCCCTTATTAACTTGGAAATTCAATTATTCTTTTCCTTTCTCTACCCATGGTAACCTCACTTTGTGACCATCATGGTCACATATGTATCTCTTATCTTTTCCAAAAAATGACTCCTCCTCCTCACCTCACTTTGTATTGCTCCTCCCAGACCATAAGACGAGGCTTCAGAAGTAGCTTCCGACCCTCCTTACTGGAATGAGGCCTTTGGAGAAGTTTTGCTCTTTCTTTCATCCTCCCCAACTGTGCTTCTTGGTTTTGCTGAGCTAGCTCAGAAATTTCAGTCCTAGACCTCCATTAGTCATCTCCGTGCAGCCTGGTCCTTGTAGCTCAAGAACCTTTAAGCCAACTATGGTGATACACATCTGTGACCCCAGCACCTGAGAGGCAGAGGAAGGAGGATGGCAAGTTTGAGGCCAGCCTGATCTACAAAGTGACACCCTGTCTCAAAAAAAAAAAAAAAGCCTTTACTTTGATGGCCTACGAGGTACCTATCATGTCCTACACCCTGTGATCTCACCCTTGCAAGGACGGGCACACTGCTCACCTGCTTTGCTCCTTTTTGTCTGTGGTTACAGCTCTCACAAGCATCTCGGTGGACACTCTGACCTCGCCGGTCTGTAGATGGCTCACTTTCTTTCTTGACACATGGAGACTTTCCTTGGCCCCTTGGCCTGGCACCTGCTCACTTGCAGCTTCAGTTGGGGTTCCTTCAGGCTACAGCCCAGTCAGCCGAGGTCAGGGAATTATTTTCTCCTGCTTCTTTTGCTCCTTTGGAGAAAGGCACTGGGGCCTCACATCTGTCACCTGCTCCCTTGCCGTCTCTTCATCTTCTTTATTCTTGCTCCATGGTTACTGATTCCATTCCAAACAGCGACATCCTCTCTTTTAGTTCATCTGTTCAACTTCCAGTCTTAAAACTGTGCTTTGTCGGGCTAAGAAGGTCTGTGCTCTGCAGCACTGCTCCTACAAGTCCATGGCCACTCTGCAGCTCCTTCTCCCAGCTGCCCCTCCAGCAGCCTCTTTCATGGCCGCCGGACTCTCCCAGGTGTCCTGCTCCTTCCTGCCCCTCAGGGTTTACTGCACATGTGCAAGAACAACTCCAGGATAAGTTCCTACATGTGGACTTGGTGAGCCCAAGATTACAGGCTTTGGTTGTATCTATTTGCATTTTTTGGTTTTTTTGGTGGTGGTAATACTAGGGTTTGAACTCAGGGCCTCCCAAATGCTAGGCAGGTCCTTTACCACTTAAACAGCCCTTCTTGTGTTGGTTATGTTGAGATAGGGTGTCGCTTTATGCCCAGGCCTGCCTGGACTGTGAGCCTGTTATTCGGGATGACAGGTGCACGCTACTGCACCCAGCCATTGGTTGAGATTCGGTCTTTTGAACTTTTTGCCCCAGCTGACCTCGAACTGAGATCCTCCCAATCTCTACTTCCTAAGTAGCTAAGATTACAGGTGTGGGCCACCACACTTAGCCTTCAGTTTGCACTTCTATCTGCAGTGCGTGAGATTCTGTGTTTCCACACCCCTGACGACAGTGTGGGAGGCAACTTTTGATGAGGCAAAAACGGGCTCCCAGTGCAGTTTAGTCTTTTAAGTGAAGTTGGCATGGTTTTGTGGCTCAGAGCCATTTGATTCTCTCCTCCGGGACATGTCAGAATTTTTTCTGGGTTTCTTCTTCATCCTTATGAGCTTTTTCATGTTATGGAGATAAAAATGCTGGCGGCCAATTGCAACTATTTCCACCAGTTTGCCACTTACCATTTGACTCTCTTCTAGTAGGTTTTGCCATGTGAGAAAAATTATCTTCATTTTGTCAAAGTTATTAGTCTTTTCTTTTAGACTCCGTGATCTTGTCACACTTAGCAAGGCTTTTCCACTCCATAAATATTTCTTAAATCCTCCCATGATGATTTTGAAACCCCAACTCCACCCTGTGATTCTTCCTCTCCACTGGCTAAATGGCCTTGGCAGGGCTACGGGAAGCCACCAAGTGCTGTCCAGCTGCTGTCCAGGCTGGGCTCCGTGCTGTGGTCATGCCCCCTGGCAGGTGCTCTCCACTGAATGTACTCAAATTGGACATGATTCAGAAGCGGGAACAGTGACTCGTGCCTATAATCCTAGCTACTCAGGAGGCAGAGATCTGGAGGATTGTGGTTCCAGGCCAACCACAATCAAAAAAGTTAGTGAGACCCCATCTCAACTAATTGAAAAAAGCCGGCACGGTTGCATACATCTGTCATCCCAACTATACAGGAAGCTTAAGTAGGAGGATTATGGTTCAAGTTGGGCAGAGCAGAAACTTGAAACCCTATTACAAAAATAACTAAAGCAAAAAGGGCTGGGGGCATGGCTCAAGTGGTAGAGCACCTGCCTTGCAAGTGCGAGGTCCTGAGTTCAAATCCCTGCACTGCTCAAAAAGTACATATGTAGATAGATACATAAGTAGATGATAGATAGATAAAACCCACAGAGCCTGAGACCTCTCTGCCTACACCCCGAAACAAGTCAAGTACACAAAAGTCTTCAGGGGTTGTCTTGGTCTGTTTTTGCAAATTAATGACTGCAAGTCACAGAGGGATGTCCACTTGGCCACGAGCTGTCCTCACATAGCGCTGTGCTATGGCTTAAAGGCAAGCTTTCCCTATTCCTAAGGTGGCAGACTGCAGCTGGGACTCAATGTGTGTAGGTGACTGAGTGACAATTCAGAGAGCCCAGTGTCACAGAAAGTTTTAGTTTTGATAGTTCACAAGAAAGGTGGCACCCTAGTGCCACATGGGAAGGACAGGGCGGGCCCAGGTTGAGTTGCGGCTTCTTTGGGAAGGAGTGGACCAGGCAGGTGGCAGGCTTGAGCAAGTTCAGAATCAGTGAAGAATCCAGAGCTCTGGGCTGCAGAGGTGTCTCTAGTTGTCAGCTGGCCTTGGGGGTACATTAGGTGGGGGGAGTACTGGCTTGGTGCATGGGAGCCAGAAAAAAAAAATCCGCAGCATCTCACACTGTCATAACACACAGGAATTAAACAGGATTACTACACACAGCAGGTCTACAAAACAAAAACAAAAACAAAAACCCTCACACCGCAAGAAGGAATGGCCATGATCAGCCACGGAGTTTCCCCTCCTCCAAAGTACCAAGGGCAGGGGACATGGGCCACTGACAAACAGGTGCTTCTGTGGGCTGTGGGGTGGACAGAAGACTGTTTTCTTTTAAGAAAACTCAACCTGGTCTAAACCGAGGTGTTATTCCTCCAGTTAACTGGGAAGCTGAAGGGCTTCAGATACAGCCGGATGTCATCAGAAATTCCCTAGCACCCACTGCCTGGGTTTTAGCTTTACCCCGTAGAGTAAAGCAACGTTTTTTCCAGATAGTTCCAGGATAAGTACTGAAATGAGGTTCTTTTGTCAGTTTTGGGGTTAAGTGCCATCCTGAACCCATCACAGCAGCCAGTAGGACGGGCCGCCCCCACCCCTCACCCCAAGCACACGGGCTTCCAGGGGGGAAACTGAGGGACCTTTGACAAAAGCACAGGGTGGGGGACCGGTGAGGGGCCCAAGTGGCGCCATCCAGCTAGAGAGCCCGGCCACCCCCCAGGTTCTGGTCTGGGGAGGACTCTGCGGTTTCGGGGTGCGCTGACCCTGTGCCCACCGCCAGGCCCGGGGGACGCTGCAGAACCGCGTGCTGCTGTGGAAGGAGCAGTCGGAGGCCAGCCGCAGCCCGTCCCGCGCTCACTCCCCCGGGCTGCTGGGCCCGGTGCTGGGCCCGCCCTACCCCTCGGGCCGCCTGACGCCCACCCGCCTGGACATGGTGAGGCCCTGGCCGCCCCCGCCGCCCTTCGTCTGGAGCCTGCTGCCCCCCAGGCTCCCGCTCCACGCCGCGCCCCTCGCGCCGCCCTTCCGTCCCGGCGCCGCCTTGGCGCCCCCGTGGTGGCCCGGCCACCGGCCCCCCAACCCCTACGACATCAGGGGCTGGGGGTGGGGGCCGGACTAGCGCCGCCCCGCCCCTCCCGCCCCACCCGCCCCTGCCTCTGCCCTCTCCCCTCGCAGCCCCCGAGGCCTCTGGGAGAGTTCGGCTCCCCCCGCAGCCGGCATGGCTCCGGCTCCTACGGCCCCGAGCCCGCCGAGGCGAGGTCCGCGTCCCAGCTGGAGCCAGATCGCCGGTCCCTGCCCCGGACGCCGTCGGCCTGTGAGTGTCCCGAGACCCGCAGCGCAGCGCGCGGGCCGGGCCGGGAGGAGGCGTTGGGGGTGGGCTGCAGCAGGAGGGCTGCAGGGCAGACTGCAGGGAGGACTTCCCGCCCACGCGCCCCCGCGCTCTGCGCCCCGCAGCCTCGCTCTACACCAGCAGCGCCCAACGCTCTCGCTCCAACTCGTTCGGCGAGCGCCCGGCCAGCGGCGGTGGCGGCGCCCGGAGAGTCCGCGCCCTGGTCTCCCACTCGGAGGGCGCCAACCACACGCTGCTGCGCTTCTCGGCGGGAGACGTCGTGGAGGTGCTGGTGCCCGAGGCCCAGAATGGTTGGCTCTACGGCAAGCTGGAGGGCTCGTCCACGTGAGTGCTTCCTGGACAGATTTCCCTCCTCCACCCGTCACTCCGCCTCAGTTTCCCCACCCAGTCATGCGGGAGGGGGCGGAGGATGGGGATGGGCGCTCTCTCCAAGGGGCGGGAGCTTAATGGAAACCCCAGTGCCTGACCGCCTACCGTGCGCCTGGCCAGTGTGCAGCTGCGATGGACCGGAGGGCAGGGCAGGTGGACGGCGACCCACCGCTGAAATGCTGCCTCCTTGCAAGCATGCGCAGCGGACAGCCTCAAACGCCCCACACGGGGCTGGTTTTGACACCTCAGTGGAGGCCGCAGGGGCCAGGACCCCCACTGGCCTCCAGAAGTGCTAGGGGAGAGCGGGGTTGGCCGCCACTCCTGCCGCAGAAGGAAGGAGTACAAAGTGGCGTGATGCCTGGGCAGAGGGGAGGCCGCGAGGGTCAGCCCAGGAAGGATGGGTGTGGTGGTGGATGATGGGGTGGTTGTGGGGGAGCTGGCTGCTCCTGCACTAGTGGAGGGGTTGGGAGGGGGCTGACTGGGTGCTTGGGAGCAGGGGAGGATTCATGCAAGTGGGGTGCCTGCATAGACGAGGTGTGCGAGTGGGCTGATGGGCAGTAGATGCACCAGTGGACAAACGGTGATGCGGCCCATGGGTGGCTGCCCAGGTGGATTATGATGGAGGAGTAGAAGGTTGAGGGATGCATGATGGCTCCTTAGGGCCAAGGTCATGGCCAGGCAGATGCCCCCATAGACCAGCAGCAGAGGGGATCAGTGGATGGAGAGGTGACTGAGCATGAAGGGCAGGGACCGACCTCAGACTGCAGTGGAGCCAACCTCCTGGACCTGATCTCAGGCCTTGTAGACATCACCTGAGGCTCCAAGGCTAGGGAAAGTGACACTAGGTGTGTCATTTGTTGGTGCTTCTGGGTGAATCAGGAGGATGGAGGGATAGATTCTTTCCTGTCAGTTGGAGGTGGCATCACTTCCAGCTGCCTTTAGAGAGGATGTCATTGGTTGGGTCATTTGAGAGTGAGCAGCTCTTGGGAGGACATTTTCCCAGGTCCCTGCAGGAATCCAATGGCCCTGTGGATTGTGAAAAGGTTAAGGGGCGGTGATCACAGTGGCTTTGCCTCCCAACCCCACTGCACTAAAACACAGACAAGGAGCCTCCAGTCCCGACCAACTCCAGACACTGGCTGAGTGCCAGGGGACAGGGGCAGCTCCAGGTCGGGGTGAAGGCTGTGCTCAGTGAGTAGTAGCTGGGGGGAAGCCAGTCACTATGCGTCCTCCAGCTTCTCCTCAGGCTCCCAGCCCTGCAGGACCATGAGGTTGCACCAGCCATGACAGATGCTAAGGCCTAACTGTTGGGAAGGACCTCCTTTGTGGGGAAGGACCTCCTTTGTGGGTTCAGCCCCGTCACAATCTGCAAAGCCATCTGAGCAAGGCCCAGCGCACAGCAGGGCTGTGATTGCTCTCGGAGTTATTCTCTTGACCATCGCAACTGGGCCTTGCTTAAGAGACCTGCCCCTGCCCCACAGGAGTGGCTGGTTCCCCGAGGCCTATGTGAAACCTTTGGAGGAGGTCCCCATGAGCCCCTTGACGCCCTTGACCTCCATGAACCCAATGAATGAGCTACCTTCCAGGTAGATACCTGGGTGGGCAGTGGTGAGGGCTCCAGGGGGTGGCTGCTGTGCACCAGAGGAGGCATCGGGGAGGTAAAGTCCCTGTGGGTCTGGCCCCTTGGGCACTAGAGCCACAGCCCAGCACCTCCATCTCTCTGCACCGTGTCCGCCCCTCTGCCCCCATTCAGAACTCCCTCAAACCAATGGGCTTCTTCCACCCAGGTGCAGGGGAGTCTGTGGGAAGCTTAGGCCCAGCAGATGGGGTGGGGGGCACCAGGGCACACCCAACCCCCTTCCCTCCCTTCCTTTCTCTGGACTCAGGTCCTACCCACTCCGGGGCAGTCACAGCCTTGATGACCTCCTGGACCGGCCCAGCAACTCCACGGCGGCCCCAGAGTACTGGGATGGCCAGTCCCATTCCCGGACCCCAAGCCACATCCCGAACCGTGCACCCAGCCCTGCCCCTACACCCTTGCCTGGCAGCCGCCAAAGCAGCATGGAAGGGGCCAGCAACGTCAAGGTGAGCCAAGGACCTGTCCTCAGCCCTGGGCAGGGAAGTGGGGACCATGTTGCCACTGGTTACCCCTTGAGTCCCTGTGGAGGGAAGGGAAGTGTCCCAGGGCTGCAGCTCAGAACCTGGCTGGGGCCATGCAGCAGGCAGGGGGTTGGGGGCAGCAGGCGGGGCAGCAGGCAGGGCACCTCCCTGTGGGGATCTTATACTGGGGAGACTCAAGTCTGAGGACCTGGTCATCTATCTGCAGGGCCCAGAGCTTTCTCAATTCCCAAACACAATTCTGGCCTTCACAATGCCTGGGTCCCCTTACCCGAAGTGACCAGACAGGCTTCCTGTGGTTCAGTCCCTTCGCTCCTGAAGTGGGGAGGGTGGTGGGAGGGGCAGAGGCTCACTTTTCCTTCCCCACAAACCTGCCCTTCCACTCACGCCACAGAAACTCATGTCCTGGGAGCAGAACCCCCCAGAGCTCTTCCCACGGTAAGTCCCCTTCCTGGGTGGGAGGGGAGGTGGGGGTGGAGCAGGTGACCCAATTTGGTGGATGTCTGGCCAGGTGCCCAGCTGCCCTCCCTGGGCTCACAGCCAGTGGGAGATCTGGGCCCCTCTCACCCCAACCTCCTCCCCCACCACCTACAGGGGCACAAATCCCTTTGCCACCGTAAAGCTGCGTCCCACCATTACCAATGACCGCTCGGCACCTCTCATCCGCTGAGGCATCTTCTTCCATCCCGGCCTGAGGTCGCCTGCATGCCTGCCCAGGGCTGTTCATAGCTGCACGGGACGTGGTGACGGTGGCACTGGCGGTAGCAGCAGCAGCAGTGGATCCAAGATGCCAGGGGCCCTGATACCTAGGGGGCTGTCCTTCCCTCAGCATCCCCAGCCTGAGAAGCTCCAAGGGCACTGCCTGCAGTCTGGGGCCTTCACTGTAGCGCAGGCAGACTTTGAGGGACAGAGCAACTACTTCCTTCCAGGGGCCCTAGGACTCTCCTGGGGGGCCAACCTCTTGCCCCCAACCTCTTTCTCCTCTCCTGCCCCAGTGGGGAGGAGCCCCTTGTACCACCCCTTACCCGAACACGACCCTGCAGAACGTTTGCGAATGGTGAGAAATAAAGGAAGTGGGCATGATAAAAGGTGTCTGATTTGGGGTCAGGGAAGGGGCTTGGGGATGCAAGCCCTCTGGAGAGAATGGATTCCAAGGCCTCTTGGAGAGCATTGCCATTCCCTGAAAGGTCTCACTCCCAACCTTGTTTTGAGGACTTCAGGGCCCCCCACCCTGCCCCGAAGTCCTCAAGCTGCTTCCTACCATCTCCATCAGCAACCCAGGAAATAGTGGTTGCTTTAGAGTGGAGAAGGAGTGGCGGTGATGGCCCAGGTCAGGATCACCAGCAAGTTACCCTGAGGTGGCCTGGGACACAGTATCCTTTGTTCTCTCCCCGCCCCACCACCCCCATGATTCAGGCTCAGACCTGGATTAGCCTTATCCAGGAGAAGCCAGGAGTCCTCCTGGAATGTGGCCTTGGGGGTGGGGGTGGGGGTGGGGGCGCAGACTGGCACTGAGGTGACTGGGATGGTGGTGTCTCTCCATGGCAGTGCTGTGCCCCCATCACCAGACTAGGACTCCCCCTGGGCAGGGCCCTGTGAGTCCCCTGTCTGTGGCCCCAAGAGGTGGAGGCATCTTCTTAGCCCCTATCTTGCTGAGGAAGCCTAGATGACCCTGTGCTGTGCTTATGGTTACTCGGTTACTCCGAGCCCCTTCAACCTTCCTGGCCAAAAGCCTCTTAGCAGGGGTGAGGCAAGGGGACACTAAGCCCCAGCCTGGGAGAGGGGGTGGTCAGGAGAGTGGAGATGGCACTGATCCCACACTGTTGGGAAGCAGAAGTCAGTCTGTGAGCCCCATCCAGTGAGCGCCACAGGAGCTAGTGAGGCGTGAGGCTGCTGCTCTCTGCAGGCCTCAGAGGATGCCAGCCTGGACATCCAAACCTGGCGACAGCTTCCGGTGAGTGTGGGCTGCCAGGGACCTCCACCCCCTCTTATCCCTGTCTTCACAACCACATTGAGAGAGGGATGGGCAAGAAAAGCCAGAACCTGGGACTGGTGGAGGAGGGCAGAGGTGGAGAGCCCTGGGGAGAGTCTTTCTATTGTCCAAAGCTGGAAGGAGACCCCCAGGGCGGAGGGCTGTGGCACAGAAGTGAGTTTCTCTGGACTGGAATGGGGGTGCATGGAGATACAGGAGAACCCCTGGCTGGAGCCCCAGCAGTGAGATACTTTGTCTATAGGTGGAGGGGCAGGTGGCTGCTGGGTTTGGAAGGCAGGTCACCTGTCCAAGGGGAGACAATGCCCCTCTTCCCTACCAAGCTTTCCAGTTGGCTTGTGGGTAAAATGAGACTACTGAAGTAACAGAGCAAATCCTGGCTGGGGCTGGGACGAGCCAGGCCTCAGCTCCCCTGGCTTCTGGCTATAATGTGGGTTTGTCCTCAATGTTTTAATGACAGTAATCATCACTGATTATCAAGAGATAGGAACATATTGCAGGGTGAGAGGGGAAATGAACTCATACAGGCCCACTCTGCAGCCAGCATCTGTCCCACAGGGTGTATGTTCCATTTGTTCAGAGACCCTCATGGACAGAATGGGACACTGGTCCCCACACACCTCTGGGCACACATTGGCTGCCTGGCTCTGGCACTCACTTACACCCCTTCCCCTGCCTTCACTAGGTCCTGAGGGAGAAAACAGCTCTCCGGAGGAGCCTTCCTGAAGTCTCAGGTGGGACCCATCAGTATTTGCCCCTCACCCTTCACAGCCCCTGAAGGAGGGGGAGACTCAGGGTACCCTCCCCTCCTGGTTCCACCACCTGAGCAGGGCACTAGGTGGGGGTGGCTGCCCCAGCCTCTGTTTCTCCTTGCAGTTCTCCATCCTCTGGACTACAGTCCCAGCCACTTCCTCTTGCTCTTCCCCTTCTCCCAGCAGAGGCGGTGGTGATGGGCGCTGGTGGCCCCCAGCGGGGTGTGGGTCCCCCAGATGGTGGCTGGGGCTGGGTGGTGCTGGGCGCCTGCTTCGTGGTCACCGGCTTCGCCTACGGCTTTCCCAAGGCCGTCAGCGTCTTCTACCGCGCGCTCATGCGCGACTTCGGTGCTGGATACAGTGACACGGCCTGGGTGTCCTCCATCATGCTGGCCATGCTCTATGGCACGGGTCAGTGCCCCTCTCAGTCCCTGTGCCTCCCTGGGGACCCCAGATTTGGAAGTTGGGATGGGAACCAGGATATACGGGTCTCCTGAGCATCCCTGGGCCCTGGGTAGGCATAGGCATGGCCTCCTTCCTGTGGAACCGGGGTACCAGAAAGAGGAGAGGAGAAGGCAGAGAATGGGTAGCGATCAGACACGAAGTTCGGCCCAGGTGACTGACCTGGCCAGCGGGGTGGGGGTGGGGGTGGGGGATGGGTATGCCATTCCTGCCAACAGACCTACACCCCCTATTTTACGGGTGGGAAAACTGATCTAAAGTAACTCCCCGCAGCCCTAGCCACCATGGAGGGGGGGCATGCACTGGATACTGGAGGGCGAGCAGCGGTGTTGGGGGAGCCTGTGGGAGGACCTCAGGCAGAGTGGATGGGATTCCAGGCTGTGCCAAGTGTGGAGTCTGTCACCATAAAGAGTGGAAGCCTCCCCTTTCTGCTTTGGTTCCGGATTGTCAAGGGGGCTCTGGGACATGATGAATTCCCCCACCCAGCCCCCACCCCTCCTAGCCCAGTCAAGCTGAGTGACCTTGGCCAGACACTGCGCTCTCTGGGTCTCTGAATGGGGGTGGGGGAGGGAGTGTGACAGCATCCTTTCGAGGCCGTCTTCTACGAATCAGAAGTGCAAAGCCTGGTGTGCATCCTCTGGAGGGAAGATGGGTCCAGCCCGGGTGGTGACCCTGCCTCGCCCACAGGCCCCGTGTCCAGCATCCTTGTGACACGCTTTGGCTGTCGCCCGGTGATGCTGGCGGGCGGGCTACTGGCTTCGGCGGGCATGATCCTAGCTTCCTTCGCCACGCGGCTCCTGGAGCTGTACCTGACGGCTGGGGTGCTCACAGGTGAGGGCCCACTGCTCTTCTCTCCTGTGGGGGTGGGGCTGCGGGTCGGTAGTCCTTGCTGCAAGTCCTCCTGTCCTCGAAGTCCCCCGGGTCCGCCCGCCCCGTTGGGGCTGATCCCTCCCTCCTGTGGCGCTGGGGAGGAGGAGCGCCCCGGGGACCGCGCCCAGCGCCACCTCGCCCGCCTGCAGGCCTCGGCCTGGCCCTCAACTTCCAGCCGTCGCTCATCATGCTGGGACTGTACTTCGAGCGGCGGCGGCCTCTGGCCAACGGGCTGGCGGCGGCGGGCAGCCCCGTGTTCCTGTCCGCGCTGTCGCCGCTCGCTCAGGTGCTACTGGAGCGCTATGGCTGGCGCGGCGGCTTCCTGCTGTTCGGCGGCCTCCTGCTGCACTGCTGCGCGTGCGGAGCCGTCATGCGGCCACCGCCCTGTGCGCGCGGGCGGCGCGCACCGCCACGCGAGGACAGCGCAGAGGACAGCGCGGGGGACGCTCCCGGGGAGGCGGAGGCGGAGGCGGGCGGTGCCGGCCCGAGCCAGCGCGGGGCGCCCCCTGGCGGCCATGCCCGCCGCCGCCTGCTGGACGTGGCTGTGTGCGCCGACCGCGCCTTCGCAGTGTACGTCGTCACCAAGTTCCTGATGGCGCTCGGGCTCTTCGTGCCCGCCATCCTGCTGGTGAACTACGCCAAGGACTCGGGCGTGCCTGACGCCGAGGCCGCCTTCCTGCTGTCCATCGTGGGCTTCGTGGACATTGTGGCGAGGCCGGCCTGTGGTGCCCTGGCGGGCCTGGCACGCCTGCGACCGCATGTCCCCTACCTCTTCAGCCTGGCGCTGCTAGCCAACGGGCTCACGGACTTGAGCAGCGCGCATGCGCGCTCCTATGGCACCCTCGTCGCCTTCTGCATCGCCTTCGGCCTCTCCTACGGCATGGTGGGCGCCTGCAGTTCGAGGTGCTCATGGCGACTGTGGGCGCGCCCCGCTTCCCCAGTGCGCTGGGCTTGGTGCTGCTCGTGGAGGCCGTGGCTGTGCTCATCGGACCGCCCACTGCCGGTGCGCCCCTCAGGAGGAGCGGGTGACAAGACCTAGAGCCCTTTAGTCTGAGGGGAGCCCCTCCCTGTCCCAGATGGACTTCCATATATGAAGAAAGGCAGAGACAACCGGGTGGGTGGACTCTCCTTCCTGACCAGTTAGTTCCCGCTCTGAGCAGCTTGGGGTGAGGGGTAACAGAAAAGCCAGTTGACCCAAATGCTTGTCCTCATTTTGCAATGGGGAAACTGAGGCACAGTTGCAGTCCCAGAGTTAGAACCATTAGAGCCACGACCTACCCATGCTAAACAGCCACACCTTGAGAGAATGTGTCTGGATGCTTTAAGTCCCAGAGTGTGTGGGAAATGAGGAAGGACATTGTCTTTGGGAGTCAGCCCAGGGGCCAGGAGCAGAGCAAAGGTGCTCAGTAGGCAGCTGAGCACTCTCAGTTCCTCTGGCTTAGGAGACCACCATTTTGAGGGTGGCCAGACCAGGACTCTGGTCCTGCCAGAGCCCACAGGGTAGGGTACAGCATGAATAGGTCTGTGGGTTGTTGGGGGACAGTGGCCTTATACAAGTGAACTAAAGATTGAAAAGCTGGAGATGGGGGACATTGGGGTCTTCCTGGGTTGTAGAGTTATTGTGAAACAGCAGGAGCCCACCTGTGGGCAAGAGAAGCTCCAGGCAGGATGCAGGATGGTCGGCCTGTAGGCTGGAACAGTGGAGTGATGGGGAGGCCACTGTTGCTGGGGCCCTGGCTGCAGCTGAGATAGGGTTAGCTGCTTCACCTGTGGGCACTCTTAACACCCACCCAAAGGCTCAGGAACCCGCCTGCCATGTCTTGTGACCCTGGAATGGCTGGGCAGGGACAGCGATGTTGGGGAGTGCTGCTCAGAGGAGTTTGGGTGAGGCAGCTGGCTCAGGGAACACTAGGAAACTTTCTGAAGGCCATCACCTTGTATGGACGGCTACAAGAAATGCCCTAGAGAAACCCCACATTAGGGGAAAATATTTGCAGTTAAGATTTTCCTGCCTGTAGCATGAGCCCCTGAGTTCAAACCCAAGTATCGCCAAAAAAAAAAAAAAAAGATTTTCCAGCTGAGCTGGGGCATGGCTCAAGTAGTAGGGACCTGTCTGGTAAGTGTGTGATCCTGAGTTCAAACCCCAGTACTGAAAAAAATTGGGGGGACTGCAATGTAGCTCAAGGGTAGAGCACGTTTTAGCACACACAAGGTCCTGGGTTCAATCCCTCCACCAAGAAAAGTGACAGAAGCAAGGGAGGAAGGAAGGTTGTGACAGAAATAGAACAAGCCCTGTTTCTGAAGCACAGATCGGACCCTGGCTGTATTAATGAAAGTTCAGTCTGGGGGGCACATGGCCCCTAGGAGGGACTGGGAGGCTGGGGCACTGGACCACATCCTTCAAAACAAGGTTGCTGTGTGAAAAGAGCAAGAGTTGGAGAGCCCCAGGGGAGCAGGGCAAAGCCAAGGTCCCCTCCCCACTGCCACCCATAACACCCGCAGCTGGGCAAGCCACAGGACACTGTAGGGCTTGAATCAGGGTGCAGGGGGGCGGGGGAAGGCCTTGTATACTGCTGCACCGAAAGCCCCATACTGCTTTCGAAACAGGTCCAAAGAGGAGAGATGGCAGAGGAAATACAGAGTTTTGCACTTTAAGACAGAAATAAAAACAGGCGTGGGTGGGGGGATGTCAGGTGTGTGTCACTGGTGAGCCCCACCAAATCAGCAGCACTGTCCCTATGTTTACAGGGAGAGGGGTGAAGGGGGACCCTGGCAGGCCCTGACTTCCCATCCCCTACCCCAGGCCGCCTAGTGGACGCACTGAAAAACTACCAGATCATCTTCTACCTGGCTGGCTCAGAGGTGGCGGTGGCCGGAGTCTTCATGGCGGTTGCTACCTACTGTTGCCTGCGCCGTTCTCAAGATGCCCCGTCCAGCCCGGCCACTGAGGGTGGGTCCAGTGACACTGAAAACGCTGAGGCCGAGGCAGACTCTGGGCCACTACCTGCCAGCACCAAGGAGTCCAGTAGCCTTGAGGCCCTAGAGGTGCTAAGTCCCCGAGCTGGGTCCCTGGAACCAGAGGTGGAGGCAGAACCTGAGCCAGTGTAGCACACTGGATGGATGGCCTGTGGCCTTGGGAGCACGGCTTCCCCTCTGAGGGCCTGGCACGCTGGGAGACCAAACTCTGAGGTCGTCCCCAGGGCACATCCAGGCTGCAATTGATCCCTTTAGTGTCCCAGGATCTTCTTCCTATCTGCCAGGCCCTGTCCCTTGCAGTGAAGCTGCTGTGGACTGACAGGAACTCAAGTTCATAAAACTCAGCTGAAGTCAAGTTCTGTCCCCATGCCTTCAAGGCTCCGGCTGCCATGATGGGGGAGGGGGAGGACGGAGATGGAGAGAGTAGGGGAGTTATGAGGGTTTTCCCCAGACTCAAGCTACCGGAGCTGGGAAAGGAAGTATCAGAGGTGAAAGGGTGGGGGCACTTCCCAGATGGCTATACAACGGGCTGTTGGCTGTCATCTGCATGAGAAAGCACAGACCCTGGGTCAGTCCTGTGCCTACCTCAGCACTGAAGGACAGCAAATTCAGGAGAGCATGTGGGAACCAAGGGCTCAACAACACACCTCTGGCCCTGCTGCCTGCCACCAGGAGAACTAACCCCTCACTGTCCTGAGAGCATCCTCCCCCCTCCAGAGGGTGCACTTGGGGGTCCTATAGCCAGGGACCTGTCACTTTTTGCTCTCACTGTATTCCTGAAGACACCACTGTGGCTTGTGGGTCAGCGCTGGCCCTGGCACCTACTTGCCCCCCATAGGGAGTGCTAGGGGTTATTACCGCCATGTAGCCCAAGCTGGCCTCAAACTTGAGATCCTTCTGCCTCAGCATCCCAAGTACAGGGATTACAGGTGTCATCACAATGCCTGGCTCTTGTACTTTGACCCTGGCTGACCTCTCTGTCTCACTCCTGGTTCCTTCTAACAAGAGCCCCTCAGCAGAGCCCATCCCATCAGTGATCCTTGCCACCCACTGTTCCCAGCTGGGCCTCCTTTTCCATCTGGGCTGCAGGAAGTCTCGAAGCTCTGCCAATGCCTGGCCATCTTCTCTTTGTCCGTAGTTCCCCCACACCACCACATCTTCTTTGTCCCTGGTTCCCCCACACCACCAATGGACTGCACTCTAACAAACACTCCAGGAGCACTTAACTCTGGCTACACTCTGTTCTAAGCCCTTTGCAAATGTTAACCCATTTAATTCTAACAGCCAAGTGACGTGGGTGCCACTGCTATCCACACTTCAAATGGGGATACTGAGGCATGGTGAGGTTAGAGACCAGTCTAGGATCACAGAGGCCACAGGTGGATACCAAGCAGTAGGTTCTGGTCTTGACCTTCATGCTGGCTGCCCCCTTCACAGAGGTGGTGTGGTCTGAAGGCTCTGCGGGGACCCACATGTACTCCTGGTGACAGACAGCCCAACCCTCCCTCCTTGCCCTTCTGTCTGAGAAGCCTGTCTGGGTTTCTGCTGCGACCTGCCTGCTCAGAGCTGCTGAGCAGAAACTTGCTTCTCCATTTGGATCCTGGCACCTCTCCCCACCCCAGTTCTCAGGACTGTATCCACTGTCCTAACAAGGACACTTTAGAGGGAAAGGGCCACTATTATTAAGTACACTAGGGCCACAGGTGTGTGCTGTACCTGGCCAGACAACGCAGGACGTGTGGCCACCCTGTTCTGCCACTTTGCAGTCACAGCCTAAATGTGGCATCTCCCTGAGCCTCCCGCCACAGCCCTGGGCAGAACAGGTGCACATGGACTTAAGTCTCCCACCCCCACCTGAGGCCTCAGGTCACCCTGACCCAGTGTCTGTCCTGCCCTTCTTCAGCTAAAGTTTATTTCATGTCCAGGAGCACAAGAGGCCAAAGGTGAGGGAGAAAGCGGCGGGGCGGGTGACGGCCAAGGCTGTAGAACCCGGCAGGCCTGACTTCAGATACCCTCTGTTCCCTATGCCTATCGGTTTGAGAAAGAGGCTTCTCGGAGGCTGGTGTCCCCAGTGGCTGGGGAAACACTGTGCCCGGCCTCCTGGTGAGGGTGGCAGCAGAGGGGGAGTTCCGAGCCACCGAAAAGAGCCCGTCTGTCTGGGTTTGTTTATTCAATACAGGTCCAGTGCCCAGCCCTCTCCAGAAGTGGCTGAGCCAGGGAACAAAATAAATAAAGGCCACCGAGGTGTGCATGAGATGGTGGCCCCAGCCTGGGCTGTCCACCTGGCCCCCACTCCCAGCAGGCTAGGGGGGCCAGCAGAGATGCCCGCAGGAACAGGTCTGGATTTCCTGCCACCTCCAGCCCCTCTTCCTTTCTGCCCTGTCCTTCCTGAGGCAGGTCCAGAGGCCAAGCTCCCTCTAGCTGGGGAGGTGGGAAGGAAGAGTGGGGGCTAGTGTCCAAGGCCCAGGCTGTGGGCCTGGCCTGGCGCCTTTCCCCGGCAGGAACCCGGATTTGCTGTGCGAGGACAGAGGAGCAGGGAGGCAGGCGCCTCAGCCGTGCCAGCAGGCCTTTATGCGCCCGGGTGCGCGGCCCCGCCCCGTACCCACTGCGGACCTCCCGCTGCCCTACCCCCCATCCACCCACGGGGCGCTCAGGAGTCACACCAACTTCCACCCCTATCCAGGGGCCCAGCAGCTCCCCGCGCATCCCTGGACGGCTCCTGGGCCGCTGAGTCCTCTTCCTCCTCTTCATCCTCGCCATCTATGAACTCGCCCTGGTTGGGGCCATAGGCCAGAGTGGTGTGTGCCAGGTCCACCTCGATGGGGAAGACGTCGGCATCACGCAGCACCGCGTAGCAGTCGTTGTAGTACTTGGACATGGTGGACACAAAGCGCTGCAACTGGAACACGATGTCCTGGACTGGGGCAGGAGGGTGGGGGACACAGGTCCAGTGACTGTGGCTACCTGCCTTGTGGGGACAACCCCAATTACCCGGCACCGGCATTCCCACTCGGGCACCTCCCAGGCGCCGGACCCTGGGATGACGCAGACCAGGCTGCCTAGGCCCCCTGGCTCCAGCGCGAACGGATCATGAAGCCACACCTGGGGCTGCCAGGCCAGGACCCGGGGAGGTGGGTGCGTTCCAGGCAGCCTGGGACCTCAGGAAGACTTCACCTCTCTGGGCCTGTTTTCCCGTCTCCAACAGGTAAGAGGTGGCCCATACTAAGGGCAATGAAAGGCTGGACTAGCTAGCTGTGAGCCCGCGGCTGGCGGGCACCCACCCCAGCGCTCACCGTGCTTCTGGTCCAGCAGCTCCATCTTCTCGAGCACGTCCTTGCGCATCTGGGAGAAGCGCGCGCGCGCCTCCTGGCGGCAGCGCAGGATCAAGCGGTATTCGTAGTTGCCAGTGCTCACTCGGTACAGGGGCTCCCCTAGAGCCTGGGGCAGGGCGAGCACGTTAGGGAGCCAGGGCAGAATGGGGGGCCCTCTCCGGCACAGATGGGCACAGCAGGAGGGCTGCAGGGTGAAGCCCACACCACACTGCACCCCTCAGAGCTACAACGGGCTCCTCTGTTCTGAGATGCTAGTGACTGTTAGAAGCACTGAGCTTTGGAGGCAGAAAAATCAACAATGAAAACCCAAGCCCTGCCACACTGAATAAATGAACACTGGTCATAAGATATCCCGACAGCAAAAACAATATAAATTTTAAAGTTAAAGCACCACTCCTGAATGACAGCCATTAGCTTTTCCCAGCAGGAGCCTCACAGCAAGCTAGCCAACACCCAGAGGCCCAAAGAGGCTGGGGTGGAGGGACAACTTCAAACTATAGGAACAAAAGTTTAGCCAGGTCAGGTCCTTAGTTCAGGCCTGTAATCCCAGCTACTCAAGAGATAGAGATTGGGAAGATCACGGTTCAAGGCCAGTCTGGGCAAAAAGTGAGCTCCATCTCAACCAATAAGCAGGGTGTGGTGGTTCATACCTGTCATCCCAGCTATGCAGGAGACATAAATAGGTGGATCATGATCCAGGCAAAAAAATGCAAGCCACATTTGAAAAGTGGCTCAAGTGGTAGAGCACCTGCCTGGCAAGGGAGAGGCTGAGTTCAAACCCAAGCCCCTCAGGTCTCCCAAGGCTGGCCCATCCACCTGCTCCCTCTGCAAGGGTCTCCATCCCTTGCAGACCCAGGCCCTTCTGGGGCATTATGAGAAACTGGGGAAGGTGTGAGAGTCTTCCCAAGCCTGTGCTACACCTGGGCCAGCCCCTAACCCTTTAGTACTCACAATGCAGCTGTACTCCTCATCGTCCATCTCCTTCACTTTTAGGCAGTATGACTGTGAAACAGGAGAGGCCAGGCAGTCAGAGCAGCTAAGTCTCCCGGACACCCATCCTAATGTCCCCAGCTGTCCCCAGGCCATACTATGCTCCCAGGCTACATAAGAAGCATGGGGGTCCATCCAGAGAACAGCAGCCATGCCAGGCACTGAGACCACCTGGGAGAGGCTCTGGGCAGGTGCGCAGGGAGGCCTGGGGAGGGGGCAGCAGGTGAGCAAGGGCACTCATCTGGGAGGGTGGGACGGCCTAAGGACTTAGTCAGTCCAAAGGTGTCTGAATTCAACTCCCAAGAGATGCTCTGGGGATGAGGGGGTGTGGCTCAGTGGTACAGTACTTGCCTAGCATACACAAGACCCTAGGTTCCATCCCAAGCACAGTAAAAGACAAATACAAATAAAAATTTTTAAAGAGAGAAAAAAAGGTTCCATGGTCAAAGGAATTTGGGAAGTCCCTTGAAGACACTGCATGTGGGCCAGTTCAAGGCACTGAGAAGTCCCACAGCAAAGGGTGCTTGGCTTGCCCAACAGTATTTTCTCAACTCTTTTGACCACAGAATGATTATTTAAAATAAAACTCGTTAAGATTCCTTGACACCCACTTTAAGCAACCTAGACCTAGTCTAACCCATGTTAAAGGCGACAAAACCCCAAAAGGTTGTAGTAGTGCAGAGTAAGAACCCTGCCTGCCCTGGCTCTAGGCTTCCCAAGGCCCCTCCATGTGGGAGAGCAGGGCCTACACTATACTGGACTCCCCAGCCAGGCCTTCGATCCCAGAGCCCCAATCAAACACGTCAGGTCTGGCCACATCCAGCCTGCCATGGTCTGGTTGCTATGGCAGGGCAAGCCTCCAGGGTGGGTTCAGCCCAGCAGGCCGGCCACCTGCAAACCGCTCACCAGGTATTCAAACTTCACGTCCAGGTACTTCTTGATGGTGAGGCGTGTGTCGGGGATGGCTTTGTTGAGGTATGTGTTCAGGTCCGTCAGCATCTGGGAGGTGGTGGGGGGTTGGGGGGAGGCACACTTAGGTAAGGGGTGGCCAAGGCGACCAAGAATGGTAACTGCTGTGTCCCCTTTAGTAGCTTCAAGCTGTCAGCCAAAGGCACCCCCTGATGGTCTTGTTGCTGTCAAGGTTAGAGGACTAAGCCCAGGCCAAGGGCAAACTGTGACTCTGGCAGAACAGAGCGCAAACTGGTCTCGAGGTCAACCCTGAGGTTTATTGACGACTGGCTAAGAGGTGACCAAGCTGGAGCCTAATCCCTAGCATCTGACTCTAGCATAGGATGGGGCCTGCACACCATGCTGCCCCTCCCACCACACCACCCTCCCCACCTCCACAAGCTGAACACACACCATTTGTGCAGTGGGACCCACCGGCTTGATCGTTTTCAGGAGCCGAATGCCAAACTTCTCAATGCTGCGGTGAGCATCAGCGAACTTCACAAAAGCCTCGCTTGCTGCTGGCTGGGGCTCCCGCACCCCAATCACAGAGAACACGTCCCCAAAGGCTGCATGACAAGTTTGCCTTGAAGGCTGCCCCTACTTGACCCCCTAATGGAGAAGCCAGGGGTTTGCCGGGGAGCAGGGCAAGGAGCCTGGCAGGCTAGAAGACAAAGTTATGTGGAGCCTCCACCCAAAGGGGGAAGACAAGGTCTGATGTGGTCTACCTGAAGGGAGCCACTTTACATCTTCTACAGCCTGAGGGAACTGGCTTCGTGAGACCTGAGGAGGGTGTCTGAGCAGAGCGCCAGTCGCTTGACTTCCAATGCCCAGCTCTGCCTTAAGAGCTCTAGGACCATTTCCTATCTGGCTTCTACCCCTACCTATAAATGGGGCCACCTGCGGCTGTCCTGCTCACAGGATTTGTGGGAAATGAGACCTCACAAGTAAGAAAGGGCCCATGCGCACTGTATGCAGCAGTGCAAGAAGACAGGTTGGGGTCCCCAAATGCTCTCCTGGCCTGTTATTCCTCCACCCTGGTATCTGGCTGAAGGTCAGAACTATGGGTCAGGCTCAGCATGGGTGTGAACCTGGCCATACACTCACTGTACAGGGACCACTGAGCCCAGAGAGGGACAGCAATTTGCCTGGGGCCACGCAGCAGGTTTGGGGATACCATTACCCCGGTGGGTCTGTGACAGCTCATAAAAGGCCCGAAGGAGGCTCTTGGTGTGCTCTGTCATTCCTGTGGGAGAGACCCAAGTGACACATGGAGGTATAAAGGACCACACTGGCCCCTCAAACTCCCAGCCCACCTGAGGTCCTCACTGGGTACCAGGTCCACTGGCTCTTCCACAGCCTCACCAGGGCCCAGGGGTGAAGGCTGAGCCAGCTACACTGTGATGCCCCATCGGACAGACAACCAGGACTCTGTGATTGCAAGTGGACAAGGTCTCCTCATGCTTATTGGAAAATCCTAGGATTTTCTAGGCTGGCCTTCTGCCCATACTACCACCCTCTTTGGAGCAGGGCTCCCCAGGATACAGCCAGCACCAGGCACTTCCAGGCCAAGGTCCCTACCCACCTTTGTACAACTCAGCAGTCCGTTCCAGCTCCTCCAGCCTTTTCACAAGCCCATCTGTGGAGATTGAAAACATGTGAGCCCACTCAGCTCTGCAAGCTAAGGATAAGAAGAGTGGCCAGAGGAGGGCCACGGCCAGCACTGGGGCTGGAATAAGAGGGAGAGGCGGCCCTCAGAGAGTCAGGGGTGTGTGGAGGGGTGACACCTTAGGGCCAGCTGGGCTCCAAGGTGATTCATCAGTAGCTGAGCTCACCCACGAGAGGAGCTGGGGCCAGGCAGGCTACCTCAGGATGTTGGATACTCCCGACCCCCACCAGTTGAGGCCAACCCAGGGGCAGATGAGCAATGTCACAGACCCTTCCCAAAGTCGTAAGTATGCGATAGTGGGCCAGACCTGTGGGTGGCTCCCCACACTTCTAACACAGCCTGCTGAGGGTCAGGGAGGCTGGGAGTCAGATATGGGCAGGAGAGAGGATGTGTTGACAATGGCTAAGGCAGGCTGTGCAGTAGCCATAGTGAGCACACAGTGGCCATGAAGGGAAAGCAGGATTTGGGGAAGGACTTGGAGGAAGAGCTCACACTGGAGGCAGGACTTGTCACAGCCATCAGCTTCATAAGAGTTTTACTGAGCATCTGTTTGGGGCCCACCATGTAAGCCCAAGGGATGACCATGGTGAACAAGCTCCAAGTCCAGCCTTTGGGGTTCCCCAGCAGGGGAGCCAGGGCAGTGGCTGGTTAGTAACCAGAGCATCACAGGGGAGGGGAAGGGGTAGATGCCTCACCTCAGGGACTCACAATGGGAGGAAGCTGGTTGCCAGGGATGGCAAGCATTCCAGAAAGGGGAGGGGAGTTTCAGGGAGCGAATGAGCCCAGTAAAGGGCCAGCACAGGGAGGAGCCAGTACACACAGGCTTCCTCTGCAGGGCACACTGCCTTCCCTGGGCTCCCCCCAATTCTGGTAGGTCTGCCACCTGGTGAAGACAAGGGACACACATCTGAGGGCAAGGACCCACGATGGTGACTTCTTTACCCAGCCACCTCCAGGGCACAGGGTTTTCAGTAGCTAGCAGCCACAACCTGAGTCACTGTGCTGTGGGCTCAGCTCACTGAAGGCTCCCAGACAGCTCTCAGCCCCTCCTCAGCCTGAGCCCGTGGGCATGAACTACTTAGCCGGTTTTACAAAGAAAACTGAGGAACAGAGAGGTAAAGCAATGTGTCCAAAGCCATAGGGCCAGGGACTGTCTGAGCCAGCCAGTGTGTCTCATTCCTCAGGCTCCTGTGTTGACCTTGGTTGGAGTCTTTTGAATAGAAGGGGAGTAGTGTGGCTCAGACTGAGTCTGGGCCTTTCTCTGGGAAGGGAAGATGGCTTTGTGACAGGCCACTGAAGGAGGAAGGAAGCACCTTGGAGGTGTTCAAGAGGCCATTGGACCAGGTCACTGTAATCCTAGTGACTCAGGAGGCAGAGATCAGGAGGATCATGGTTCAAAGCCAGCCCTGGCAAGTAATTCACAAGCCCCTATTTCAAAAAATCTCATCACAAAAATAGGACTGGTGGAGTGGCTCAAGGCGTACACCCTGAGTTCAAACACCAGTAACACACACACACACACACACACACACACACACACACACAAAAGAGGCCACTGGCCACCTGACAGCTTCTTCCAGGTCCCGGCTCCCTGGAGACTGAGCACGTGGCCAGCCAGCAGGAAAGGAGCCATATAAGCGCTGCACTGTTGTTTTTAGCTGGGTCATGGGACATCATGACAGCTTCAATTTTAGAAACCCTATTTATGGCTGGGGAAATTGCAAGGTTTGGGGGGAAAAACACAACAGCCAGTTCCAATTTCATCTCAACGCCTGGTAACTACAGTAACAGGATTTATAGGCACCAAGAGGCCAAAAATAGCAGCCACCACTTTTGTACCCTATTTGGAACACGCTCAGACTCCACCCCCACTTCCCCAGCCAATAAAGCCCAGTGTGCCCAGCTGAGCCTACAATTTGTATAGGTATTTCTATCTCCCCACATACACGCAGAGTGCTGCTATTTAAAGCTTGGGCTGGCGAGGGAAGAGCAGGACTGCGTGTTTTATTGGTGTCCCAGGGAGACAATGTGCTGCATGTGTCTGAGGGTGTGTAAATGCGTCTGCACATGGCTTCTCTCTGAGCCTGGACAGCCACCTCCAGGGCCCTGGGCAGGAACCAGAGACAAGGACGACAGCGCCACCTCCTGGAGAAGGGCAGAGTGGAGGTGGGTGTGTTGGGGACGTGCAGGGGCCATGGGTTAGAGGCTGGGACAGCAGCTTCTCAGGCTCACCCTGGCAGGTACCCCCAACTTAGGGAAATGGGAGGCACCTGCCCACCTGAGTCTGTTTCCTCCTGTGATCTGAGGGACCCTTAGCTATAAGGACCCCACTGACAGCCTGGGGTGCTCTCAGGAGGAATTCTCAAGGAATACAGATGGTGACTTGTTGGCCATCCAAGCAGAGGCAGAGCCAGGCTTACGGGACCTGATGGGCAGCTGTGATGTCCTTCTCCCTAGACCTGGGCTCAAGTTCCAGTGGGGTGGGAGGAGGGAACTCACCATTGCACAAGATGGCCCGGCTCAGGCCCAGGGCATCAGCTGTTCCTGAACTCATGTTCTCCACCAGCCGGTGCTTGACCTTCTTCAACACTGGGCCAGAAGAGAAAAACCAGTGAGTGTGCTGCTGGGCCTCAGGCATCCCTACCCTTAGCCCATCACCACTTCCTGCATGTGGCCAGCAAGGGCTAAGCTGGGTTTTGGTGCTGGAAGTGGTTATGAAGTGAGAAGTGTCCCAGTGGGGAAGGCGCTTGGCCCCTGCCTAACTTGTGCTCCACTTCAGAGGGACTGGCAAGCTGACAGAAGGCCAACATGACATGCCATCACCCAGAGCCCATCACTGCCCAGGGACAGCAATTACTGACAGGTCAGCCAGAGAGAGCCCTTCCTTCCTCTCTTTCTGTCAGGACCTGGGGTAACAGGTACAAGGAGAGGGAAAGGGAAGGGGGAGGGGAGGGTCCAAGGTCCTGGGCTGAGTAGTAGGCATTATCAAGCACCAGTATGACGATATGACCAGGATAGACCTTGGAAGGGGTCCTGGATTGGAACCAAAGGGTTTAAGAGCAAAAGCCTCCAGGGCAGACTCAATCTGCCCTTCACCTCTGTTCTTTGTGGTCTTTGTGGATCACAAAGGTGAAATCTGTGCTCATCTGGCCATGTGCTTGCTAGGGATTACCAGCTGCCCTCTCAGGCCTCAGGCTTTGATCTATAATGCCAGCCAACTGATCCAGAGGACCTGGAAGCTACTGTCCCAACTCTTAAGTCTTTTTTTTTTTTTTGAGACAGGGTCTCACTACATAGCTCAGGCCCAGGCTGGCCTTGAATTCACAATTGTTCTGCCTCAGCCTCCCAAGTACTGGGATTACAGATACGTGTCATCTCTCAGCACACTCTCAGTCTTAAAACTTCTACAGAAGCAAGGCCCAGACCCTCTCATAGTACGCAGCATGTCCCAGAATATGCTGTGGGCAGAAGGGTTGGCCTGTGACCCTCTTTCTAATGCCTTAAGGTCCAGGTCAGACTCTGAGTCTGTAGAAGGCAAGAGGAGAGGGGTGTGCAGGTAGCCATGAGACACAGGCTAGGGTTGTGCTGCCCCCACCTTGCTCAGTCATAGTAAGTCCAGAGCTGGCCCACAAATGGTGACCCTAGGACAACCAGAGGAGGTGGCTGGCAGCTTGGAGGTAGGGGAGAATGGACACAAGGAGTGAGAAATCAGGGATAGGGTCCTGCAAACCACCACAGGGAGAGCACCCGGGTCCTCCCAGGCCTTTTTGGGATTGGCTTGGTCAGAAGAAGGCAGAGCCCATAGCCACAAAGCTATGGATGCCACATTCACAAGGGAGGGCTGGGGCTCGTAGGATCACTGGACACCCTGCTCTGGCCCACTTACCGATGTCCAGGGACATGCCCTGTTTAGGATCCGCCTGCAGCTTGTTGTAGTGGATCGTTACCTCCCCCTGCAAGAGCAGCACACAGAGTTGTGATGGAGCCTCCTGGACATCAGGACCCTCTCTGGAGAGCACTTTCTCTTGGTGCTGAGTCACCAAGGAGAAGGGGCAGGGGACCCCCAGAACCCCAATCCAGCAGGGGAGGCTGAAGCAACTCAGGGAATCAGAGTCACGCATTCTAGTGACTGCCCAGAGGAAGTTCTCCTAGGGGAAGCCTCCCAGAAGCCTTCCCCAACCACTCATCCTTGCAATCCCTAATGTCCTTGAACTCAGGACTGAATCTATCCAAATCAAAGAGGATTTAAATGTCAAGTCCTGAGGAGGAACCAAATGAGCTGATGCAGGGGTGGGATATGCACTACTCCCTGGGGACACAGCACAGAGCAGCTGGGGTGCAAAAAAGAGCCCAGGCTCTGGTTCAGCTGTGTGACCAAAGGCAGATCACTTTCTCCTCTAGACATCAGTAAGACGGGGCAGTAAGCCCTGCCTGGTACCCACACTTGAGAGCTGGGAAACCATGCATTCACAAGAGGCACCTGAGGGGCTGGTGTGAGACAGGCCTGGGAGGACAGGAGGGCTCTGGTAAGAGAGATCAGAAGAAAAGGGGGGACTGCTAGAGAAATGGGCACAACCCAATTCAGTGCCAGGATGGCACACTCTTTGCCTGTATTCCATAATCAGCACCTCTACCCAGCAGATAATGCTGGGGACAGTGACACCCTAACTGTAAGGGGCAGCAACCCTTGTTTCCTTCATATACTGGATCTCTGAGACCCAGCCCACGGTTTGTCTCATGGCTGAAGAGGCCCTAGAAGGATGAGGTACAGGCCTGGAAGCCTCTTCTTGGTGACGGAATGAATATAGGATGACTCAGTAGGACGGGGCACTGGGGATAGGCCAGAGAAGTGACTGCCTGAGTGGGAGGGAAGAAGGGGCTCTTTGGGATGCAGCAGATTCCCAAGACATGGAGGATGGAAGTGGGCTGGGAGGCAGAGTGGCTGGCACAGCTGGGATAGGGAACTAAAACATGGGGTCCAGTTTAATTCATGCTGGGGGTGACCCTGCCTCCAGGCCTTGTAAATTATCCTATAGCTGCACACTCCTCACACTGGCTCTTTTGCCATACTGGTTTCCCAGGAGTTCCTAGCAGCCAAATCTCTACAAAATGCTCCTGGAGTGGCCAGGATGTGGCTTGCTGTGCACGGAGGAAGCACCCTGTGGAGGAAGGCCTTGGAGTAACTGGGAGGTGGTACTGCAGCACGGGATTGAGTGACAGGACAGGAGCCCGCCTGGACTGGGAGCTGCCCCAGAGCCCAGGAGGACCCACTGACCCGAGAGTTCCTGTCAGGAGGGGAGGACTGCTCCTCATCCCTTTTCCCTTGCCCAAGCCCAGCATGGCCTGGCAAATGTTTTTACACTCCACTGACTGAGGGAAGTTCACTGTGGGCTTTTAGCTTCTGCTCCGGCCCCAACCAGGGATAGCCTGGCTCAACTCCTCTGGGAGCTCACAAGGCCCAGGCCCAGCACAAATCCTGGAGCATAATTGGCATTTATTTATTCAGAAGTAAGTAACTCAAGAGAAATCAAGGGAGACTGGAGTGTACTATGATGCTGCGGTACAAGGAGGGGAGCAGTGACCCACTCCCCCAGGCCTGTTGGGTCCGACAGCATGGAGGGCTCAGAAGTGGCTCGGCAGCTCTGGACTCACTTCAGCAGTGCTTACCTTCACCTCCTGAATCATCTTCGCCACCTCCACCTTAGTTTTCCCTTTGATCGACCTGCCATTGACACCAGTGATCTCATCGCCAGCAGCTACCGTGCCATCCAGGGCTGCAGGGGTATTGTCAAATACCTGGGAAGCACAAGGAGGCAGAGGGGCACAGGGGCAAGTGAGGAGCCACCTAGAAAGCAGCTCGGTTCCTTGCCCCATCCCTGCCAGGTGCCAGTGAGGAAAAGGGGGAACCCCTCGGCAAGCAGAAATGAACGAGCCCAAATTCTTAGAGGGAGGGGATGAGGACAGGATGTAAATTCAAACTGATGAGACGTTCTTTTTTTTTTTTTTTTGTGGTACTGGGGCTTGAACTCAAGAGCCTCACACTTGCTAGGCAGGTGCTCTACACTTGAGCCACTCTGCCTTTTTTGTGTTGTGTATTTTTGAGAATCTTGCTTTTTGCCCGAGATGACCCTGAACAACTATCTTCCTGATCTCTGCCTCATTAATAGCTAGGATTACAGGTGTGAGCCACCAGAGCCTGGCATGACTTTCCTTTTCTAGTAGCAAACACAGCCATCCTCACACACCCACATGAGTGCTTGTTCCTACAATGTCATTTCTTTTTTTCACCCAGTGCCTCGAATTTGCTAGGCAAGCACTACCACCCAAATCATGCCCCTAAGTCCTTTTAGCTTGTTTCTCAGATCAGACCTTGTGCTTTTGCCTCTGCTGGCCTTGGACATTGATCTTCCTACCTTTGCCTCCTGAGTAGCCAGGATTAGAGACATGTACCACCATACTTGCCTTCAATGTCATTTTTCAAATAGGTTCTTCCAACAGTGCTGCTTCAAGCTGACTCAGCACCCCAATGGACCTGTTATCAATTCCTACACCTCAGTGTGGTCCCCGAAGAACAGCCCTGAGCAAGGGCCCCACAATACCTGTGAGCCCTTTTTCTCAAGGTGACCCCTTCAGCAGGATTTACACTCACTAGCTATGAGATTGCATGTGTCCATCAAAGATCAGATGTGTGAGTGGTACTTACAGCACGGGGAAAGCAGGCTCCTCAAGTGTGTGCACAGACATACATACAAACACAAAAGTGTACCCATAAAGAAACCACTAGGAGAGATCCCAAAATTATTACAATGGTTCTGATTCTGTATTCCCTCTACAGTACCTATAGTTTCTAAATTTTCTATAAAAAGCATGTTGAAAGGACACTTCATAATGTTTATAATATTCTAAGGAAAAAAGTGTAATAATTAAGATGAACATTTCTTTCTGCTACCTTCTGGAGTTACACTAAAAATACCATAATGGCAGTGAAAGATGTATAATGAAAACTATAGAACTGGGGACATAGCTCAGTGGTAGAGTGTTTACTCAGCATGCATAAGGCCCTGGGTTCAATCTCCAGTACTACAAAAAAAGAAAGAAAGAAAGTCATAAAACATTGCTGAAGCTGGGCACCAGTGGCTCATGCCTGTAATCCTAGGTATGCAGGAAGCAGAGATCAAGAGGATCATGGTTCGAAGCCAGACCAGGCAAATAGTTCACGAGACCCTATCTTGAAAAAAACGCTTCACAAAAAAGGGGTGGAGGAGTGGCTCAAGGTGTAGGCCCTGAGTTTAAGCCTCAGTACCACAGGGGGGAAAAAATTGCTGAAATTAAAAGACAGATAAATGGAAAGACATGGATAATAGTTAATCTTAACTGTTGACGTAACTGGATTGAGAACTACCTAGATTAGTAAAGCACACCTCGGGATGTGTTTATCGGTGTGCGTCCAGAAAGGATTAACTAAGGGGCAGAGGACCAGCCTTGAATGTGGGCAACACCATCCCATAGGCACTGGGACCCAGATGAATAAAAGGGACCCTCTCTCTTCTCTTCTGTCTGTCCGCCCATGTGTGTGTGTGTCTCTCTCTCCCTCCCTCCCCCTCTCTCCTTCTGGATGTTGTGATGTGAGCTGCTCCACCATGCCCCCCCCAACATGGATGGAAACCTTTGAAACTCTGCACCAAAATAACTAATTCCTCCCCTTAAGTTGTTCCATTAGGTATTTTTGTCATAGCCCTGAAAGTCTAATGGAGAAAATTGGAATCAGGGGAGTAGCTGACCCCTTGTTGCTGTGAGTGAAGGACCATGTGGTTCTTATGCCTTTGGAACTGGTCTGTGGGAAGAATCTGGAAGTGTGTGGAGATGTGCACTACAGAAGCCCTAGAATGTTGGAAGCTGTTTTTTGTTTTTTGAATTATCATATTACTGTTGTACTGGGGGTACACTGTGACATTCCAAAAGTGCTTACAATATATCTTAGTTAAATTCATCCCCTCCATCTTTCTCCTTTATCCCCTCATTCCTGGAATAGTTTCAGCAGGTCTCATTTCTCCATTTTCATACATGCGTACATGATATTTCCACCACATTCACCTCCTACCCCCTTTCCTTATATCCTCCCCCCACTGGTACCAACCCCCACACAGTACTTGTCTTGCCTTCCTGTCCTTCGTTTTTGAAAAAAGACATTTTTGTTCAAGATAGCTATACACAGAGTTTCACTGTGACATTTCCATGTATACATGCATTATATCCCAGATCGGTTCATAGCTCAGCTTTAATGGGCTGTTCTGGTGGGAGCTCAGAAGCCCAGAATGCCAACAGTAATGTGGATGGTAAAGGTGTGCTCATTAGGTTTCAGATGGGAATGAGGACTCTGTTGAGACTAAGACTAGAAGCCATTCCTGTTACATTCTAGCAAAGAACTTATCTGCATTTTGTCTGTGCCCTGAGACTTGTAGGAAGCTGAGTTTAAAGGTGATAGACTAATTAAACAGGTGAAGAAATTTCAGCCCAGCATTCAGGTTGTGACATGGGTATTGCTGGCTGCTTTGTCAAGTTTACAGTGAGAACTGTGATCAAAAAGTAGAGCAGAAAGGTTTGAAAAACTTTGAGCTTTCCCAAAAGAGGTGTGTGAGTTAAGATGGAGCAAAGGGAAGTGTATGACTGCTAAAGAGATTAGGGCCACTAAGAACTCCGGAGCGTACTGTTGGATTTCCAGACATACAGAATTCAACACTTGGAGTTGCAGTGGGACAATCACTTAATGTGCAGTACTTTTACATTAAGAATGCAATGGTTATGAGGTCATGGAGGTTTCCACCAGATTTAAAAGGACAGTCTGGGAAACCAGGCAATGTGTGGCAGGAGAGGATTCCTGCAGGCAGCCCCTCAGAGAGTGAAGCAGTGAAGGTGAAGCCAGCATAACGGAGGACCCAGGAAATTAGAGCTTCCAGGAACAGGGAATGTTTGACAAGGAAAGCCATAGGCAATGAACAGTGCCAGCCCAGGAGGGAGGCCACAGGGGCCCAAGCCCCTGTGAAACCAAGAGCCAGTTCACATGGAATCTTAAGGGCTCTTGAATAGCCAAAATAATCTTGAAAACGAAGAACAAGCCAGGCAACGGTGGCTCAAGTGATAGAGCACCTGCCTAGCAAATGCAAGGCCCTGAACCCAAGAACTGAAAAAAAAAAAAAAATCAGCTGGGCACTGGTGGGTCATGTCTATAATCCTAGCTACTTGAGAAGCTGAGATTGGGAGGATTGTGGTTCAAGGCCACCCTGAGGAAATGGTTCATGAGTTCCCCAACTCCAAAATAACCAGAGCAAAATGGACTGGAGGTGTGGCTCAAGTAGTAGAATGCCTGCTTGCTAGTGCAAAGCAGCCCCCACCCCCACCCCCGGCCAAAAAATGAAAAGAAACATGACTTCCTCAAAAAGTAAAACACAGAGCTCTCTCTACTAGAATAAGAGCTCTGCAAGGGTGGGGGCTTTCCTCACTTCTTTATCCCCAAAACCTACTACAGAGCTGGTCAGCACTTGGGAAGGGCTTTCTAAACAAAACAACTGTTGCACTAGTATTAATTAGGTCAAAAAAGGTTAATTATGTTGGGAAGCTAGGATGAGAAGAAGAAAACTAAGTTCGCATGTACTGGACTAGGAAAGGTCAGTAGATATTTGCAAGTGACACAGATCAAGAAGAACAGGATACACACCTTGAAAACAGTGGGAACCATGTCAGAAGAAACAGCTAAGGGTAGAGCTGGGCTTTGCTATAGATGCAGGCTTTTTATTGCTCCTGATTTGTTAGATACAGACAAAACTAAATTTCAGAAAACAAATTCTATTATTTTATAATCATACTTCATACTAAACAAATCTGGTCCCCAGGTCCCCAACAGTTGGGGAGGGAGAGGTGGCAGAGAGGCTGAGCAGGCACATGACTAGGAGGCCAGGCATGGGGGAGGTCTCCCTAATGCCTTCTGGGGCAGAAGAGGCCAAATCACTCATGAAGGCAACACTCTGGGCAGAGGCAAGATCAGATGATCGTCCCAGAAACTGTGGTGTCCTGATTACCACCAAAGGCTACTCAGTGGGGAGAATCTGAACAGGGTACAACCCAAGTCCTTCCAAGGCTATTGAAAAGTCACTGACTGACCAGCTGCCAAGTAAAAGAGCTCTCATAGTAGGCTTGTTCTGTCTTGTGTCCTAGCTGACAGAATATCACAAGGGTACTTCTTAAGCACGGACCACAAAGTTGCTTTGTTATCACTGGCAGCTGCCAGAAAATAACACCTGCTGCTTAGTGGTGCTTCTTAAGTGCCCGCATTGTGTTATGTCATCCTGTTGCATTTTCACAAGAACCAAAGATGCTATTATTATTTTGGTAGTACTGGAATATGAACTCAGGGCCTCACACTTGATAGGCAGGCACCTTACTACTTTTTTTTTAACCAAGCTATTTTAAAGTCTAACTTTCTAGCACAGAAAACTGAGGCCCCAGAGAGCCTAAAGAACTTGCTAATAAGCAGGGAAGCTTGCATTTGAACTCAGGACACTTGTATTTCATAGTCTTCCCACTTCACATGAGCTAGCACCCAAGGCTGGCAGTTCTGTTGACTCACAAAGACATTCTTCTTGAATGTCCACTATATGCCAGGCACTGCACCTGCACTAACCACAGTGAAAAGGCAAACAGCCACCTGCTTTCACAATGCCAAGAGTCTGGTAGAACAGCCAGATGTAGACTGAGTAACAAGCAACTGATTAAGATGATAAATGCCAAGAAGGCAAAAACCAAGCAAAAATGTCAAAGGAAAATACGACAGCTCTACTCAGAGCACATGGTCGGGAGGGCTTACTGAGGTGACACTTCAAAAATGAGAAGGAGCCAACTTTTTGAGTGGAGAAATGAACCTGCCTCTGTCGTGCCCAAGCAGGGAGGTGTCTCACTCAATCTGGGATCCAGTCCTCACCTCCAAAGTGCCCCATACCTGCACAATATAGAGGCAGGGACAGTACTGCGCCCCTCCTCCAATGCTGATCCCGATCAGGTTCTGTGCGTCCTTCTGCAGGGTCACCTTCCCGGGCACAGTGGGGATGCCGCTAGAAAGAGAAGCAAGTGAGGCTGAATTCCTTCCTAGAGGAAAGACGACTGGAGGGGTGCAGGCCCTGCAATCCCGGAGGGACACCGAAGGCCACACAGCTTTTTCTCCTCCTCACTTGGCCACAAAGACAGTGATTTTTATTTTTTTTATTTAATTTTTTTTTGGGTTTTTTTTTTTTTGCAGTACTGGGGTTTGAACTCAGGCCCTACACCTTGAGCCACTCCACCACCCCTTTTTTGTGATTGGTTTTTTTGATAGGGTCTCATGAACTATTTGCCTGGGCTGGCTTCAAACTGCCTTCCTCCTGATCTCTACCTCCTGAGTAGCTATGATTACAGGTGTGAGCCACTGGCACCCAGCTAGTGTATCTTGGTTTTTCTTTTTTTGTTTTTTATTGGTGGGCTTTATTTAGACTCAGGAATTTGCTCTTGCTAAGTGGGTGCTCTACCACTTGAGCCACACCACCAATACTAGAAAGACAATGATTTGTGCTGGGACATGCACAGCTCTTAAGAGTCCCGCAGATGTGGCATCAACCCTAGCGCTGTCATTTACCTGCCATGGGACTTGGGTAAGTCACTTTCTCTGCATCCCAATTTTTTTGTCCATAAAATGGGAAAGAGGTTGCCTTAGAGTTCTTGTAAGAACACACATGGAAAGCTCTAATACCAACCCTGTCCACAACAGGCACTCCATATACATACCCCTTCCCTGCCCTGCCTTCACACTCTAAGATTTAGCCAGGCTCTGTCTTTGTCACCTTCTCAAGCACATGTGGAACATTATGGCCATCTCCTCTGGGAGGAGGAGTCTTCCCTGTTATTCAGCTATCCTCCTGCCATCTTTCAATTACTCAATTGGCTCTCAATTTCCACTACAAATTAGTATTTATTTATGTGCTGTGGTAAAAACTCTCATGTAGCTTATTCACTCAAAAATCACTGGCTGACAACCTACTGATTGATGCCCACCACCTTAGGAAGTACAGACACAAAAAGACATGAAATCTAGCCCATGCTATGAGAATATACTTTAATGAGCAGACAAATGTAATTTTTGAAAATCTGTCCTACAAATCATCTGTGCTGGGGAGGGAGATATGTTTATATTTCCATTCATCCTTCAAAACCTGGCTCAACTTCCACCCCCTCTGAGAAGACTTCCAGGACCAACCCGGCAGACACACTGCTCCATCTGCTCTGTGCTCCTTGTCCCTGGATCATGCTATTGGCACTCTCTTTATAACCCTGATTTGCAATTATCTGTTAAGCTGTTCGTGGCGTCTTACAGACGATGAGTATCTAGAAGGGCAGGTGCATTTCTGCTTCAGTACACCTGACCTCCCATTGAGAAGCAAGGGTTTGCAGAACCAAGTCCAAGGACATGAAGGACCTGGGGCTCCTGAACTCCTAGGTCTTGTGGGGAACAAAATACTCACAGTTTATCCTCCTCGATGTCATAATCCAGGTCTGCAAACATGGTTCCGAGAGTTGGGGTGAGCTGGCTAACTGTCCAGCTTGGAAGGGGAATGGGGAACTAGATCCGGGAGAGAAAAGAGCATAGAGTGTAGGGAACCGAAGTGCCTCGATGTAGCCCCAAGCTCCACCACTACCCCGTATCTGGGACAGCAGGGCCCTGCTCCCCGTTCTCTGGACTCGGGGAAGGGGAGTCTCTGGATGGAGGGGGTGGGTAGGTGATTCTTACTAGGTACAGGGGAGGACTCCAGGCCAGGGCGATGGACTCAGATCCCAGAGCCCGCCCCACGGGTCTCCAGGCCCTTGGGAGCTGTTTCTGTTGCTCACCGGAAGTCAGTCCCACAGCAGGGCCCAGGCCAGGCTGGCACCTGAACCCACCTGCCGTTCCACCTGGCGGCGGTCGCGACTGTCGCGTCACTTCCGGCAAGACGCGGAAGTCCCGCCTTCCCCCTGGGTATCTGCCCAATCCCTACAAACAACCCTTTGCTCCCCGCTCCCGGAGAGTCAGAACCAGGAAAGTATTGGTGGAAGCTCGCCGTTCGTGAGAAAAAACTGAAACCAAGGAAATGTCTGAACAGGCTGACAGCACTTAACCCCGCCCTTTGCCCCGTCACTGCCGCCATCTTGAGGAGGGCAGGGTTCTTCCCAGCTTCCTTAGCGGCACGTTGGGGACCACTCCGGGCCCGGCGGTTGCCGTGGCAACGGAAGCATCTCCGGGCTGGGGTTACCGACAGGCGAAGTTCATTTTCACTACCTTGCCCTAGGAAATGCCTGTGACTCCTCCGTCAGAGCTGGTAGGCTCATCGAAATTCCGGCCCAATCCCAGTTTTGCAGATGAGGAATCTAAGTGGCAGAGAGAGGAATGATTTTGTTCAGAGCCACATCCAGTTGGTATAAGATCCAAATCTCAGCCCCGAGACCCCTACCTCCTATTTCAAGACCCATTGAACGGATGCACTAAACTGGGAGCCATGAGAGGTGCATTCAGTAGGCCTGTTATTAAGAACAGATTGAACTTGGTACATTTCCTTTATATGCCTCAGTTTTCCCATGTGCAAACTAACAGCATTGAGTAGATGCTTTCCGTGGTATTTGGTGAATGATTCCTCACACACCCACCTTCTTCCTTAGTCTAGAGAGCCATTAGGCTTAACAAACACTATCAGTGCTTCCCGGTTGAAGAGTCCAGATCTCATCTCCCCACGAACATCTGCAGCCACTGTTATCGTGTAAAATGGGCTCCTTGGAGGAGGATGGCTCTCCCAGTAGTACGTCCCTGGCAGCCACCTCATCAAGGCAGCATGGGGCCAAGCTTATCTAGAGTCGTTCCCCAGCTGCCCAGGGGACATGCAGAGAGATGATGGTCCACCATCCCTACAGCCTGAGCTGGAAGCCCTCCCACACCCTCCTCAGGGAGCGATTTGAGTCTTGTCAGGTGTGTGGAATGCTACCAAGGCAACAGCCTTCCCCTGTGGTCACTGCAATGCAGTCCAGATGACTTCCACAGAGATTTAGACTCTACCACCTCCCTGTGAGAGGAGAACTACATTGTGCAAGTGGGGAAACTGAGGCCCTGAGAAGCCGCTCCCCTTTTCTTATGGGTAGTCAGTGGCAGGATTTGGGAATGCCAAATCCACAGTTTCCATGTTAAGAATAGTGGCCTTGGGCTGGGGATGTAACTCAGTGATAGAGCACTTACCTACTACGTGCAAGGCCCTGGGTTCAATCTGCAGCACCAAAAAAAAAAAAAAAAAGGTGGCCTCTGAGCCCAGATACTTTAACATGTATTGTGGCTCTTCCCACACCCAAGCCCTGGCTCTGCAATTTTGTAGCTGGGGATCTTAGGCAAGTCACCAGCTGACCCAGCAGTCTCATAACTGTAGAATGAGGGAAATGAGCACACCCCCCCAGCAGGTATTTGCGTAGGTCGAGATTTGTAAACAATTCATATGGCACAGACGTCTCCAGGACCTCCAATCCCCCAGTCAATTCAGGTCCCTTCTCCCAGTTGAGGACAAAATTCCCATGCCCCAATCCTCCAGGCTCAGCTCTAAACCCCCAATTCCAGGAAGTCTTTCCAGACAGTTCACAAATCTTGCTCCTTCCTCTGAGTTTTAGAGGCAGTTATTTGGATTGTGCATTTGATAATTTTATGTATTACTTTGTGAAACCCCTTCATGGCCTCCCTGAGCCAATTCTGCAGGGCTTACCCTATTACATGCTTGTGCTTTATTTGGGAATGGCTTTTTTCCTCTTTAAAATTGGGGCTTGGAAGCTGGGTGCTGGTGGTGCACACCTGTAATCCTAGCTACTCAGGAGACAGAGATCAGGAGGATTGCAGTTCGAAGCCAGCCCAGACAAATAGTTTGTGAGACCCTATCTCGAAAAACCCTGTCATAAAATATTGGGCTGGTGGAGTGGCTCAAGGTGAAGGCCTTGAGTTCAAGCCTCAGTACTGAAAAAATTGGGGCTTGGAAGTCTGGGGATGTAGCTCTGCAGTAGAGCCCTTGCCTATCATGTGCAAGTCCCAGAGGCTGATCTCCTGTCCTGCAAAAAAGAAAAAAAAAGTCTGAACAAGAATAATTAAAACTGGAGCTTCAGGTTCACATCCTGACAAATGCTTCTCCCTGCCTCTGCCTCCCTCCTTCCTGAGTTCCTTTTCTCTGCTGACTTTATAATCTCTGGTGGTCCCATCTTCCATAGATGCTAGGAATTTATCAACAGGTGTCACTGTGACAAACAAAAAAAATGGATTTCTTTATAATTAATATCTGTTAGTGTGAAAATATCACACTATTGTGGTATTGGGGTTTGAACACAAGCCACTCCACCAGCCCTTTTTTTTTTTTTTTTGTGGTGGATTTTTTTTTTTCCGAGATAGAATCTCGAAAACTATTTGCCCAGGCTGACTTCAAACTGCAATCCTCCAGATCTCTGCCTCCCTAGTAGTAGGGTTACAGGCGTTAGCCACCAGCAACTGGCTTTATCACGGGCACTTTATTGTTCTGGTGGAGGGGTCATCAGGATCACCCACACAGCACAAGAACCTGCTCCAAGCCATTTAAGAGGTCAGGTTGGGACCAGAATTTATCTGAAGGGAAAGAGAATTTGGGCACCTTATTCCAGCAGCAAAGTAAGCACTTCTCGTCTTTCCAGATGGACAGGAAGCCCCTGGGGTCAGGAGCCTTGTCCTGCCCTCCTTGGAAATGCCCACAGAGCCTGGCACAATACCTATCTGCAAATGAAATGCTTACAGAAACCACTGTGGCTTTTACAGGAGATGGGACTCTCTGTGGGCCCAGGAGAAGAGGTCTGAGACAAGCAGATGGGGTCCAGAGGGATGGACATCCCCAGAAAAAGGCGATGAGGGCCTGACCTGGACAGTGGTAATGCCTAGGTTTCCTCCATGCGATAAGAATCAGAGGTTCTGAATGTTGGTTTTGAAAAAAGTGCCCTGTATAGCTATCCTTATCTCAACCAGCAAAAACCCTTGTCCTTTCCTGTTATTGCTTATATTCTCTCTGAACAAAATTAGAAATAAGGGCAAAATAGTTTCTGCTGGGTATTGAGGGGGTGGGGAGGAGAAGGAGGGGGTGGAGTGGGTGGTAAGGGAGGGGGTGGGGGCAGGGGGGAGAAATGAACCAAGCCTTGTATGCACATATGAATAATAAAAGAAAAAGGAAAAAAAAAGAAAAAAGAAAAAAGTACCCTCCAAACCCAGATGCTTTAACACAGACTGTGGCTCACCCAGAGCAGGATGGCCTGGCTCAAATCCGAGTGCCATGGTTTCTGCTGGGGATCCTGGGAGAGATGCCCTTTGTCTCTGAGCCATGGGTGTCTGCAGAGGGATACCCTCCTGAGCCAGTGGCTACAGAGCTCAAGACAAAAGTGGGACCTGTGAAAGTTCTTCGTGAGTGATTCACAAGACACAGGTGTCAGAGGTTTTCATTATTGCTCCCTGGGACAGCTGTGTTGTCCATTCACTTCAGAGGGCCAGGCTGGCAAAACTCAAGTGTGCCTCATCCGTTCAGGCCTCCACATCAGACTCATTCAGGAAATGTCCTAATGTAGATTCCTGGGTTCCATCTCAGCCCTTTGGATCCAAAGCTCTGTGGGTGATATCGATGCAGTCTAGGGACCACTATGCCAGAGACCTAGAATACAGTGTCTGCACACTCGGCTGCCAGCAATCCCTGCCAAAGGGCTTCCCCATCCCCAAGAGCCAGGAGGTTGTGTGGGCCCAGAGGGGCCTCTGCTGAGGCCCCAGGCCAGGGTAGGTTTCCTGGGGGAAGGGAGGTCCCTGCTGAATCCAGCCAGAGTGCTGTGGTGCTCAGGCCTAGAGGAAGGGAGTGTGCAAAGGCTTCTGGAGTACAAAGTCCCTGTTTGACCAGACAGACTGACAGCGGGGACAATGACTGGCATAGTGAGGCAGCTGTGCAAGTCCTGTGAGACCACAGGGTGAACCGCACCCCTGCCAGTGTCCCTGGTAGGAGGGGTCAGCAGAGGGACGGATAGGGTTCCTTCCTCAAGGATGGTAGGATTCTGAGAGTCGAAACTGGGGTGAGGGCTGGTGGAGTGGCTCAAGTGGTAGAGCGCCAGCCTAGTAAGTGTGAAGCCCTGAGTTCAAACCCCAGTGCTGCCCTAAAACGAAACCAAACCAAATATTTCTTTACATCTGCTATGGGAAATTTTTAAGGAACGATTTGTCCTAAAAAAAAAAAAGAAAGAAAGAAAAAAAGGAACTGGGGTGAGGACAGCCTGGGACAGAACTCAGTCAGGTCCTTTCTCCTAGCTTGCTTCCCTTCCTCCCTCTCGAAAGCAGCTGCTTAACCATCTGTCCAGATAAGCAGTGAGCTCTTACCTGCCTGTCTCACTGAAAGCTGTGTAGGGCTGCTAGAATGCTCAAGCTGTAGAGCACCCGCCTAGCAAGCACAATGGTCCTAAGTTCAAACCCCAGTATCACCAAAAAACAAGGATTTAGGGCTTCAACATGAATTCTGCCAGGCATCGGTGGCTCACACCTGTAATCCTAGCTACTCAGGAGGCAGAGATCTGGAGGGTCGTGGTTCAAAGCCAGCCCAGGCAAATAGTTCTCAAGACCCTATCTTGAAAAAATCCATCACAACAAAGGGCTGGTGGAGTGGCTCAAGGTGTAGGCCCTGATTTCAAGCCCCAGTTCCACAAAAAAAAAATTTTAAAAAGGGAAGGAAGGGAGGGAGGGAGGAAGGAAGGAAGGAAGGATGGAAGGATGGAAGGAAGGAAGGAAGGAAGGAAGGAAGGAAGGAAGGAAGGAAGGAAGGAAGGAAGGAAGGAAGTTGTGTGACCCTGGGCAAGTTCCAACCCCTCTCTGGGTCTGGATTCCTCAAAGGATCCCAGGATCAGATTCAATCAACAGCTGGT